AAACAATGAGCAAGGATTCATAATGGAATTTCGTTTTGGCAAGAATGGCAAACAAAAGTCAAGACGAAACGGAAACATGGACCCCCAGACAGGACGAGACGAGCCAACAAGGATCCTCGCTCAACTCTAGCAACTTTATTATTGCCCATTGCCCATTGTGGCGCGTGTCTCTGTCTCCCTCCCTCTCTCCTCCCTCTGTGTGTGTGTGTGTGTGCTAAATTTGCCACACTAAATTTGTACGAAGCGAAAAGTGTCACCGGGGAATAGAGCTCATCAACGCTGATGGCCATGATTCAGCTCTTAACTAAAATTCAAGTTGGCCAGAAGACAGAAGAAGCAGCAGCAGCAGCCGAACAACTAAGCCAAATAGAAATCCGCCCCCCCTTGGACTCATCGGACTCGTCCAGATGAACTACAAATGGACAGGGTATATTAAAAGTGTATGCTCTGGAAAATAAAACGTAATGAAGAAATGAAAAACGCATCGAGTAAGAGAGAAAAATCTGTTGGCATTTTACCCGCTCTGCAAAAGGTAATCAAAATAAATGAGCGACATTTTGCTAGCTGATGAACAGGATAGGGAAATGAAGATGTGAGTGCTACGGATTGCCCCATGCGTGTGTGTGTGTGTGTGTGTGTGTGTGGAGGGGAGGGAGTGTTTATATGTGTGTGTGGAACTAGAGAAATAACTCCTTTTTGGATTTTTGAACAATGAACGTTTAGGGGTTTTCCTAACGGCTAAATGACGGCAGCAGAAAAAAAAGGGACGATACACACAGGAAAATTGTGGAGGCAGCAGGAAGCAGGATGCGCAGCAATGGCAGCGATTTCCTCGTCAAATTATGACTTGTTTGTTCAGCTGTCGAGATGATTTTCGCCATCATCTCTCACTCACACTCACTCGCACTACCATGCGGATGTCTATGTGCCGCCTTGAGTGTGGGTGGGAAAACCAGTAATCACTAGCAAATCTGTTGGGTTTCTTAATAAAAAGGAAGCGAGCAACAGCAGCAGCAGAAGGAGAAGACAAGTATCGATAAAATGCGCTCATTAGAGTTAACTAGAATAGAAGAGTACGCTTGTGTAATTCACAGATTTATCCGTGAGATTCAAGACTTTACTCAAGCTCCAGGGAATGCTTGAACGGGTTTGCTTAGAGCAACTAAAGAGTTGAGTTGAGTGAAGAATGAAGACTCATCAGGTGTTCTCTATGGAAAACTGAAAAAAAGATGGAAAATATATTCTCTTAAATATTAAATAATAAAACTTATTGAGCTTACCGAAACTGCTATCAGGTCTAGAGCCCATTGGGTCTATGCTTTCTAGATGATTCCTTTAAATCAGCTCACAGACTTCCGAGAGTAGACGAGTTAACTAGCTGATATAGCTAGCTATACAGAGAAGTATTTCCTCGAAACCAATGTCCTATCACGACAATCGGCAAAAATCTGCAATAAGAGATAACTGAATTAGCGGTATTTCCTTAAAAGCTGTTTCCTTTGATCCATATACAAAGATAGCCTAGACTTTCTAATACAAACAAACAAAATATTACTCTATAGATAACCAACTAGGTCCAGAATAATATTTCATTCAAGCCAAGCCAACCCCCTCACTTTCCCATTCAAATGCCAATTTGCAGTCCTGTCCCAAAAAGTACCCTACAAACTACACCTTACCCACGTCCATGCATAACACCCACATTCCACAATTCAACACTTGGCAATTTGCTATGCATCATATAGTTGGATATATTTGTAGTTGTTCCAGCGGGGCGTTTAGATACAAAACAGCCCTACAAAGCCTTAGCCAGTTGCCATAGTCAATTCCCACTTTGCAGTTTATCCTTTAAAGCCACCTTTGAGATGATGTACAAATAGGATTCGGGCCGCTAAAGAGACATTCGTTCGCGCTGCTTTATCCCTGGCCAAATTCAATTTGGCATTGGTATGCAGCAACAGCAGCCAGCAGTCGGCAGCCAGCAGTCGGTAGTCGAGCGCCGTACCGAACTACGATTTAGGGAACCGTTTTAAAGCCGCCTACCCGTTTGGCTGCGTACCGCCCATAAATTACCATTTGGCAGCTACAAGCAACGCCTATCCGGCTTCCAACTACGCCAACATCAACATCAACAACAACATCGCACGCCCAACCCCGCCTAACCCACCATATGGGCAACTGGAAAAGCCGCATCGCATCCCATTCACTTCAGGGACTTTTTCTCATGCTCGCTCGGCGTAGCGAGGCGAGTATATGGGATTTCACAAGCTAATATTGAAAATGGAGTTATTTATGTAGAGCTGTGAATTTGAATTGAATACAAGTTGTGTAGAGTCTTGTAATTCGCATAGGCTGATTGGTCTAGGTTAAGCAGTCTAGGTTGACGAGTCGAGACTAATCCTCAAGCATAGATCCCATAGCATTTCTGTCAGCGCGCGAGCATTATGCAGTCATCCATGACCGGCTGCAGTTCCGAGTTGTGTTTTTCTTTATGGAATGGATCTAGGCTGGGCATTATACGCGCACTTTGCCGCAAGTCGTTTGCTTATCAGTTTCTGTAGCGGGCGTTGTCCTTTCGGACAGGCCAGCAGCCAGCAGCCAGCAACCAATTCGGCGGCATCTAAGTGAACTGGCATATAATGACTGCAGGGATGAGATTGAGGCGTTGCTCTTTGGTGTTTTCGCTTCTTCATTTCTCATTTCTTTCTCTTCTCTCTGGGTGTGTTGGTGGGAAAAGGCTGAGCGAACGACACGTTCGTTGGCCCCTTATCATCGTTTATTGTTTGGCTACATATTTTATTTGGAAGTTGCAGGCGCAACAACTTTCGCTTGCCTTGGCTCGTTATTATCCTATTAGGATGTGACAGCAGCTCAGCAAACTTTTCATTCACACACACACACACACACATACACAGCCAGACACGAAGAAACAGAGACTAAGACACTGTGATACACCCAGCAGTCGAGCTGAGCGTGGCACACATGGCGTATACATAACGCTTTTTATATACTACTCTCGTCTTAGGGACATTACAAGCTCGTTAAAGTGAAATCGATGTTGTTGTTGTTGTGGTTGTTGTTGCTATTGTTGCTGCTATTCATTTTGGCTTTGCTGTCACCCTGTCGTCCTCTCGCCCCGTCACCCTGTCACCCCGTCCTCCTCCCGCCAACGTCGTCTTGTCGTCGCTTTATTTGGCTATGTCTTTTTATTTCATTATACGGATTTGGCTGCCTTTTTGCTGTTATCTGTGGCAGTTTATGTCGCACCGGAGGCAACTGACCATGAAAATTGTTAAGCCAAATGCACAATGAAATAAACTATGGATATAATGGCAATTGTAGCCGAACTAGAGCGGGACAGTGGGGGCGCCACGCCAGAGCTAAGCTACAATACAACTGAGCGCCATTATCAGATCATAACAACTCAACAATAACCATAACGAAACTTGACAAAATCGTCGTACATTAACAATAACTAATGCCCTCAATAGCTCAATCATTAATATTATCATTATTATTATTATTATTATCATTGCGCAGAGAACTATTTATTGGCAGGCATATTAAGTATCAATTATGAATGAAGCATAGCTTATCAATCAAGCTGGGCCCACAGACTAACAAGAGGAAGGAAATTTTCTGTAAACAAGAAATGGGAATATGGTTTTTGTATGGGTTTCTGGAAAGCTGGATTTGAATGGGATATTAGGAAACCTTCTACAATGTCTCAAATATTCTAGTTAATCTTCATTTATTGCAAATCTCTATAGAATATTTACTTGCATTACTCTCTAGACACACATCATCTATCTTAATCAAACCATGCTCAATCCCTCACAGTTGAGAACATCTTCATATTGCCATATCGGACTTGTAGCTAGCTTTATTTTTGCGCCATGACAACACCTAACGATTAGTCATTGTGGGCGATTTGATCTGCTCAATTAGTCACCTGAACGCGCTCTGCAGGCACTTGTGGCAAATGCCAAGGAAAACATTAAAATATGCATATTCGATTGTAATTCTTCGGTACAGTAATCCGGCAGGGCGAGGGTGTTGGTGTTGTTGTTGTTGTTGTTGTTTGTATTTTTGCATTTTGCATTTTGCATTTGCATTTCACACACGCCTTGGCCTGGAAATCGGCAATGAAGGCAACGATCTTTTAATATGCATGTATATATGAGTGTAATTGATCGATCGGTCGTGGAATTCGAATGGAAATGGAATGAAATGAAATGAATGCACGTGACGAGTGCGTGTGATGCACCACTCAACGCACACCAAAAAAATTCCTTAGCGGCACCATTTTTGAGTGTTGTGTGTGAAAATTTATGGCGTGCTCGAAAATTGTTTGCGACGCATGTTAAGAGTTTGCCAAAAAGAATTGCCTACATACACAAAGGCACAGCTACATACAGAAATACATAAATACATGTGTACATGTGTATGTATGTATATACAAACGTCCACACTTAATTATGCATGCAATGTTTTGTTTATCCGAAGCTCACGAGAGCTTTCAGCTGAAGAGTGTAACGAGCGAGAGAGTAAGTGCGAATGCGAGAGCACGAGAGAGTGAGGGCACAGGTTGCCGGCTAGTAGCCGGTTAGCCGGCACTGACCACTTATAATGGGAGCGAAAGAGTGAAAGAGCGAACGAGTGCGGGAGTGGATGAGTGGAGGAGAGCGCAAAAACCGGCTCACAGTGGGCGATCAGCTGACGTTTGACTAAGCTATGTTATTATTGTTTTCTACTCTGCTCTGCGTCGTCTGCGACGCAGCAAGAAGCTCGCTGCCGTTGACCTATGCAAAAAGCTTGAACGCAATTTTTGTGCGCTCAGAGCTTGAGGCGCAACCACTGTGCGCTGCCGCCACGCGATCATCACGTCGAGCGTTGAGAGCTGAGCATTGAGCGTCGAACAACGAAAGTCGAACGTCGAACGTCGAGCGTCGAGCAGAGGACGGGCAACTCGACAAGCTTAAAATTGTATGTCGCAAACTTGAACGGTTTAGTTACCGAGTGATAGCCAAAAGGGGCACGAGCACAAGAATTTTGGACCAGTCGGTGTCAGTGTGCGCTGTGATGTGATGTGAGACAGTAGAGCGATGCTCTAAGATCTACTACAGCAAACAAAATATAAAGAAACGTAACTAAATGTAATCTAGCAACTACACAAAATATAGAAAGTGCAGTGACGCGAGAGCGAAAAATAAAAGCGCGCAAGCAAAGAAAATAGTAATATTAATAAAAGAAGGTGTAATATAGAGGTGCAAAGTGAATAAACTGCACAGAGCCACAGAAGCCGTGAGCCGCAGCATGTGAAGTCGTCGGGCGCAGCAGCGGAAAAGCGAACATACAAAAGAAACGATATTTATGCTCTGAATATTGGGAGAGCTTACAAAATTTACGTGGCAGGTGTGTAGAGCGTTTCGTTACCTCTCCCTCTCCCTCTCCCTCTCCGTCTCTCGCTCCCTCTCTCTGGCTCCGGCCCCCGCTACCCCAGCCGCATTCCACACAGATTGTGCACATAATCTATATAAGTATAAGTGCGATGGCATTTTACGTTTGCGTCCAAATCATGGGCACAGTCGCCGCACAGTTAGCAAAGTGAAGGGCTCCCGCACCTTATAAATGTTGTACTCTCTATGCACATATTATAGCCGATTATATAAGCCAACATTAGCTCTTTTTCTGTTGATTCTCTAGTGCGCTGGGGCCTTGGATAGTAAGGCAGACGTACAAACACACACACATACACACACACTCGCATGCAGAGAGACATAACTGTATGCTATTTAGATAAGATAGAGCATATCTAATAATATCACAGAAAATTAAATGAGCATAGCGCAGCGCATAACGTCACATAGTCAGTGTGTGTATGTAGGTGTGTTTGTGTGTGTATTAACAAAAACAAATAAGAAATAAGAAAAACTAAGCTAAAAGAAACAGAAATATGTTGTTTATATTATGGAGCTAAGGTTTCCAGTTCCGTTCCATTCCATTTCATTCATTTTGATTTGATTTTTGGTCGCCAACTATATTTAAACATTATTCATTGGCATTTCGCTAAATAATAAACAAATTATAAATAGGTAACTTAATAAATGTACAGTAAACGAGAAACTAAACAAACGCACACAAACATTCAATTGTACACCACAGAGAGAGAGGGAGAGAGAGAGAGACACACATATGAAAAACGCACACAAAACCAAAAGTTTTTAAATTTTTGCTTAGCAGCAGCAGCGGTACGCATACATTCAAATGAAAATATACTGCACAGCTGTGTATGTATGTGTGTGTGTGTGTGTGTTTTTGTATTTTGTTTACACAAAATCAAGGTTAAAAGCGCAAAGCGACATGCGTAAAAGGTGGAAGCAAATAAATATATCGCTCAATAAACGAGCAATGATCGAATAATTGTATGTATCTTTGGGTGTGTGTATGCATGTGTGAGCTTGGGAGTGTGTACGTGCGTATGCTGTGGTCGCATTATCCGAAAGTACCAAAAATGAGCCATGGAACTCTATTAAAGCGTAAAGCGTGAACTAGTTGAGTGGAGTAGCAGCAACAGCAGCAGCAGCATCGCCATCGGCAGAGGCAGAGGCAGTGGCAGAGGCAGCGACAGAGTTGGCGGCGGTGTTCATGGCTGCCAAGTAAGCTGAGCCGTCGCAGAAACCAGAGCAAATACAAAACAGAACAGCAAAAAATAACAGCAAAATCACCAACAACAAGAAAGTAAAGCTTACTCTCCGCGTAAGAGTCGAAGCTTTCATACTCTTTGCGCGGTAAATTCCTCTTCTTCTTGTTCTTCTTATTTTTTGGCAGAGTAAAGGTCGAAAATAAAACTCTAACTGAGACATACATAAGTTGACATCAATTGAAAGTGTCAGCTAAGGTTTAAGCGCATATTAAATTGGCGATCGGCGCTTAATCCGATTATATTAATATGATTAATTATATAAATTCAAGATTTGCATTGCCCGCTGCCAATCAACGGCTGCTGTTCTGTTTTTGGAATTTTGGCAACCCTTCTCAAGTGATGATAAATGATCTTCAGACGTTCAGAGTCTGATAACAAATTATTACAAATATTTAAATTTTTAAATAAATTTCCTTCTTCGCTGAGATAATATCCCTGCGTTTGGGTTCTCTTTTGTTTCCGGCAAAAGCTTTAGATAACGCAAACAAAGGTTTTCTATATCTTTATACATAAGTGTGTGTGTGTGTGTGTGTGTGTGTAGAGCTAATTAGCTTGCCGTGCAATGTAAAAGATATTGCTCTGTTTTAACCTTTGGATGACATCAGACTGATATTTACATAGCGCTGCTGAGCCACTACTGGTATTAACGTCTTATATTTTTATCTATGGCGATTCACGCACAGCCATACATTCCTATCAACTCGGCTATCTTATTGATATAAGCAATCAGATAAGTCTCTTCTGGCTTACAATTCGCACTGCGCCGTTGCTGCAAAGTTGAAAGGAAAGCAATTATGCCCAGCTGCAAGTGTATGTATGTATGTATTTAGGGGCGATCGGCTCCACACAGACCAAGGCAAAATGTCTAGAGCATAACCGATGAGCCGGCCAGCCCAGAGCCCAAAGCGCTGCCTATGTTTTGGCCCGGTTGCAATGCGTGCAAAAGAGATGACGAACTTAATTTGCTGCGGTAGCTATGGCAACAGTCGAGCCGCAGCAGCAGCAGCAGCAGCAGCAACAGCACACACACACAGATGCACACCCTCTTACCCAGCAGCTGCCACCCTCTTGCCTGCTCTTTCAAGTGGTGCTGCTATTGCTGCCTTTGCTTTTGCTGCTGGCTCATCAAAAAAGCCAAAAGTTGTTGAACGTGAAATTATTGTACGCGAACACGAGTAAATACGCCAGCACACATGCACACACACACACACTCACTCGCTCACACATACATATGTACACACACTTGCATAAGAGCGAAGACCGTCAACTTCGACGTCGCTGCTGCTGTTTTGCATGTGTAGCATCTCAAGATAAATAACAAAACAAAACAGCAACAGCAACAACAACAAAAGCACAAAAAAGAACAGCAACAACAACAGTTAAAAAGCGCAAAGCGAAGGCATGAAATAGATGCATCAGATTTCGCATTCAAGTGAAATTTATGGCAATCATAAAGCTCATCTTGCTTTCGAGGTAAAAACTTACTTACAAAAAAAAGAGAAAAAAGCAAAAAAGTAAATACGAAAAAAATGCTGCCAAAGTCTTGACTATGAATCGCCAAGTGTTGAAGCAGGCTGTTAGGAGAGGGTGGGTGGGCAGAGAGAGCGAAAGCCCGAGCGAGTGAGAGAGATAGAGATGGAGAGTAAGCGAGGGAACAGACGGCGCAAACAGCAGACGCAAGTACTTATCGCTGTCGGCTACAAAGCTCCATTATGCTCATAGATCGTTGTTGGTGTTGTTGTTGTGGTTGTTTTTGTAGCTGTAGCAGTTGTTCCTGTTGTTGTTGTTAATTTTTAAGCAGACAACATAGCGCTCAAGACCTCAGAGCGAAACGAAGTGTACTACGTAGAGCTCAAGTGCTATCAAACCTTAGTCATCTACACAAATATGTTGAGAGAGCGAAAGAGAGAGCAAGAGCGATAAAGAGAGACAACGAGCGAGAGAGATAGAGAGAGAGAAACAAATAGGGGACAGTAAGAGAGGTCGAGAATGAAACACTCACACAAATACAGATTACAGTTTCGCGTACCGTACATAAGTACACCTGGTGCAAACAGTAATATTAGCTGGAAATAAGTATGAGTAAATATGTGTCCATTAGATAGTTGGATGAAAAAGCAAAGCCCAAGCCCCAAAAGACAAAGAGTATGGGAAAAGGTGTATTGGATAAGAAAGTTTGCGGAATGTGGCGAAAGAGAGAGAGGGGGGATGAGACAGAGAGCATGCAGTTGGGTTAAGAGAAAGCCAAGTTAAGCGCATAATTGAACTCTCATACAACAAAATTTGTCTACAATTTCCGCCACATTATGAAAAGTTTTCCCATTATATTTTCCGCCGAAAATTTAGCTGCAAATATTTTAGGCAAGTTTTGCTCAATTTAGCCAACAAACTGTATAAATCAAAATTGATTTGTTTCAGCTACATAAAACTAATGCAAACTCTTGTTCATTCCAAGATATTTTATAATTTTTTTCTTTAAAAAGAATGTTGCTCCAGAATTTCCAAAAGTTTATAGAATAATGCCTTGTTTAATAAATCACAAAAAGGTTTGTTTAAACATAAATTAAAAGTTTTCAATTCAGCAGAGTTCGCTTTATGATTATTATTTTTTTTTTTTTTTTGGCAATATATTGTCCATGTAGCATTTAATAAATATAAAACTCAAACACAGAAAAAAGTTAAATCAAATTTGATTCTATATAAATGAAATAAAACGTTTCAGCTATTAAAGCTTGATTGAGTTCAACAGAGTTTGAATTAATTATTCCAATTAATTCAATCTTGAAATATTTTAAAAAATCTAAAATTAAAAATATAAGTTTAAACAAATTTGTTTGATTAAAAATAATTAGTCTCAAAAATGTAGTATCATTCACAAGTCTGAATACATTTTTCAAGAAATGGAAAGACTTAAAAATCAGGAATGCTAATAATGTTCAGCTATAAAAATCTTACCTCACTGAATTCGCGTTTTCCCTATAAATATAAAATAAACTACCGAATTTCTGGAATACCGGCTATAATTTTTGGATATTGTAAACGAAAAATCCTTTTGAGTTAATTAAAAACTGTTTTATTCGTAGAACATGGGTTCAGCAGAGTTCGCTAAATTGTTTATGTTTAAACGTAAATTGTCTGGCGGAAAATGTGTAAACAATTCATTGATTATGCCAATTTGGAAAGAGAATATTTTTATCGAATTATGACTCTACGGCGCTGTTTATAGATCACATTTCAGGCAAATTGAACAGTCTATCATCATACCCTTAACTCGATGCGGTAAACAAATATACTGAACGAGCCCGTCATGCATCACAATCGCCATTCCATACATAGTCATAATCTAGAATCGAGTCATCAATTTCGTCAATATTTAGAGCTGATGCAAGCGGTGCATTGAATTGAAATAATAATAATAAAAAAAGAAACGAACCGCAATGGGCATCCAGCTCAGAGACACTCGAAACCGGTGACCACAAAACAGACCGAAACCGATACAGATAGCGATACCGACACCGACACCATCGAAACAATTTATTATACTTTTCTATGGGCAGCAGCATTTCATTCGCATTTCATTCACTGGCAGTCGGAAGTGTGCAATCGTCATTGTTGTTGATTAATTAACAATTCGATTAACTGCATGATTGATAGTTTTCAATTGTATTCACGCAGTTCTCATTCTCATACTCATTCCCCTTCCCATTCTCTTGCTCACGCTCATGTAAAGCAAAAGTTTCAGCTACACTTTTAAGGTAGCCTGCAGGTGGACTAGAATAGCTTTGTCACCTTCAAGTGGATTCATCAATTGTAGCAACTGTCAGTGTTTGTCCTTCAATCATTTGATTGAAAGCCTACCGAAATGCCTTTCTCTTTTTTCGCATAACAAGTGAATTCAAACTTGTTTACTCTCTTCAATGGGTTTTTCAGTTGAGAGAAGTTCATATGGGTTTTCTTTCATTATTTTAAGATTTTATTGAAAGCAATTGAATTGAAGGATGAGCCAAAGAGAGAGAAAAGCTACAACTCTCTAAATTTTCAATGGGCACAACAATTTCCATATTTTTCAATTGGTTGAAAACATTTCCATTTAACACTTTTTTTTTTACATCTAGCAAGTACATTTCAGAGAAGACATTGCTGATATTTTCAATCTTATCAGCATTTGAGTACAAGCATTTGACACTAAATAGTTACTCTATTCTCTATAGTCTACTCTTTACTACATAGAATAGAAACATAGCTCTCGAGAAAACATTTATCTCAACTGGGGCTATAGGCTGAAAGGTTAACCTGTAGCCCCAGTTGCATTCGTTCGTTGCTCAATCATTTCAACAGTTGATTGAAAGCATTTGAATAGTCTGGCCTCTTCATTAAACGAGCATCTTTTACGCATTCACCCTCCTTCTCTATCTCTCTCTCTCTCTCTCTCTCTCTCTCTCCCTCTCTGTCTCACACACAGACTCTTCTTCCCACTATCATCAATTTCATGGAGAAGTCTTTCAATCATTTTAGCATTTGATTGAATGCAGCATGAAAAGAAGATAACCCACGATTTGTTTGTCCGTCCGTTCGTCCGTTCGTCTGTCCATCTGTCCCGCCGTTCGTTTCATTCTGTTCACTTGATTGTGAGCCCCACGAAATGCCGCAGTGGCAACAAAATTAATGCGAGCCACAATCTCAACCTGAGACACTACCTGAAACTCGTCCCATGCCGCATGTGGCACGTTTATCAGCTTCTGCCTTGCCTTTGCTGCCACTTGGGGGCCCCCAAAAACACTTTTCAGTTTTCAGTTTTTGTTTTTGCGGCATCTCGAACGAGATACGCCAGTATCATGAGAGTGAAATGTGTGTGTGTGCCTGCGTGTGTGCGTGTGTGTGTGTGTGTATGTGTGTGTGTGTGTTTGCCCAGTTGCTGGGTTTTGCTTTCGGGTTGCCTCCGGTCATTAAAACTATTCGCACAAATCCAAAAAAGGTTGCTATTTATAGCAGTGATACAGCCTCGTCTGCTGGACCGACCGCTTGTCCGCTCCTCTGCTCCCCCGCTCCTCCGCTCGATCGACCCGCCGGCCGGCCGGCCGTCCGCCTGTGACTTAGTAACGCTTCTCGGTGTGTTTACTGCCTTGTTTTGTACTGCAATTAAATTAAAATAAATAAAAACAGCACTAAACACTTATCAGCGGCAGGTCGAAAGACAAACACTCTGCCAGGCAGGAACTCAGAGCACTTTACATCAGATAGATGTTATATGCTATGACTATATATTGTCGTCAATTCCATGGGCAAAGTTTCAGTTCAACGATCCAATGCGTGTTTATATAAGTTAGAAACGGAACTGAAACATAAAGTTGGTACTCAGAGTGGGTTTCAAAGGCTATAAATTTACTGTACATACATTATCAATTGTTTGTTATCAAAATCCAAATTTTTATGGTTGATTTAAAGCTTAAAGATTGAACGTAAATGTTGCTGGCTTAAAAATATATAAAAAATAATATATATAAATATATAAATATATAAAAAATATATTTATAATAAAATTACAATAACCCATGATTCTGAAAAGAATCCATTATATTTCTACAAAGAAATTTCTACCGCTAACAGTGTTGAGCTCAAGTAAAGTTACAGAAAAGCAGAAATAGATAGATATTTAGATAAATTTGAGGAAGATAGAAGACAAAGATGTAGCTCGATATATAGGTAGATAGATGTAGTAGACATATATGTATATAGCATATAAGTATATATATAAAGATATACATATATATTTTAGGGCTTTATACAAAAATATTTTTTTATAACATTACAAAAACGTTTTAAAGAAGTCTAGCCTCCAATATTTTTAAAATAAAAAGACAAATTAAAATGCATTTTTTTTGTTAAATTAATGTGAATAAGAAATAAATAAATAAAATGTTTATATTTATTTTGGAGAGAAAGGTCTGATGTAAAAAATAGTTCAGCCTCGAGACTCTGAAGAAAGACGCGGTCCATAAGCGTTTTTTGATTACTTGAAGAAAAAACTAAAGGCAAAAGCAGTTCATATTAAATATTTTCATTGTATGTACTTAGAAATAAATAAAAATCAGCTTCCAACCAAACTTATGACCTTAAAATATACATATGTACAATGCCCTGTATACAAATATATAATATAAAGAATACATATAGGGAAAAAGTGGATTAGTATAGAAATACATAAAATATTGTATAATAGCCCACTACATACCCTAACTAAAATACTAGTTCAAGCCAAGCAGTAAATTATTACAGCTTAATTAAATCAACTACAAATTCCACTGTTCTCACTGAACAACCCAATCAAAGCGAAATACCCATATTTGGTTAGGGTATTTCAACTATATTATATTTTTGTGCTCACTCTGTTGTCCATTTAAAGTGAATAAAACTACGGCGTAAACATTTTTTTCTTTTTTTGTATTTGACAATTAATTTTTTATTTCCTCTCCTTTCTTTTCAGATGAAATACAACGAAATTCAATTGGTTTTGATTTTGCAATAAAAAACAAACATATATAAATATATATATACATATATACAGTTGATTCTGATACGGCGCGGCTTCAAGGCTAAATTGATTGAGTCGAGGATATCGGCAGAGCGCGAGCACATCATAAATCCATATAGAAAATGCTGAAGCTGCACAAGTCCAGGTGCGAGCACCTGTTAATAACCATCAGCCTGCTAATCTATACCGGGAACCAGCTGAATGTCGTCAGCGCAACGACACGTAAGTCTGCCAAATATTTGCCTCAGTTTTAAATTGTACTCAGATGTATATATTTATCTCTATATGTAAATATGTCTCGATCTGTGCAAACATCATTATTTTTTCATTGCGGCTATCTGTTCATGATCTTATCAAATTGTATGAGTATTATTGTGTACATTATAATTGTTTGCACTATGCCAAATAAGAGGCTATTGTTCAGCTTGAAGAGACCGCAGGCCAACAGGTGGAAAACGCGTTCGTTCACCTGCAATTGTAATCCGTAGAGATGTAGCTGCAAAGAGTAGAATATGAAATTGATGTTTTATATATAAAGATACTTCATAAAGATGAAGTAGTTAGGGGTTTAGGTTACATATATGTATACATGTATTAAAACTGATCTAGTACTTACATATCTATATATACATATCTACAGACAGGGTGATTACGTGTTTAAACTATTTGTAATAGTATATATAATATATCCATATGTACTTTATATTCCTTATCAAACTGCTCTATGAATCAGTAGAATATGCGCTTGTTCTATTATTAAGTATATGCTCATAGTAAAGTAGCTGTATATACATATAAGAATACTTATAATACATATGTGTTTATAAACACACATTTGGCACACTTTTTTATATTTTCTTGAAAATTAATATAAAACTGTATTAATGGAAAATTTGCGAATATAATCGTTTAATTTTATTATCTAACAAAATGTATTTCACTTAAATCGGACTGTTCGTTGATGAGATATATCTTTTTAAACCTGAAAAAATCTCTAATATATATAATAAAAGTTATAAAGAAATATGTGAAAAAAATAAATGTTATATTATGAAAGCAGTGCATATATAATAATATATTTTCTATAATAGTTCAAAAGCCAATATTTTCTATACTATATATTGTATATACATATTTTTTTAATTTTACCCACCGTTTGGCTAAGAGCCTTGCTGCAGTCTACGGGCACATCCTTCACGCCCGCACTGAATATGTAACGCGTTTTCCGAAAGATCTGCTGGAGTCGATGCGTGTGGCCAATGACTAGAGTCAGCTGGACGAAGACAGCTACATTGAAGACCGTTGCCTCGACATTCCATGGGGCAGGCTCATGAAATTTGCGCAGCCACCAGTTGCTGAAGGTCACAAAGTAGCTGAAAAAGGAATGCATAATGCTCTCGACGGCTACGAAAATCACAAATAGGACCAGCTGAACGTTGTGGAGCGAGCAGAGCCGCAGGCTGAGCCTCAGCAGCTGGCGATGCAGGCGCAGCAGACGCCACAGCTCCAGCGCGAGCCAGCGCTGCTGCGAGTCCAACAAGCGCTGGCGATGGGGCAGGCAGCGTGTAAACAAAGCCTCATGGCTGTGCACGGCATCGGCCAGCAGTTGAGCCAGAAGGAGATTGCAATGATGCGACAGATGGCTAATTAGCAGCAGAGCCAGCAAATAGAGTGCCAAGCTCAGCTGGAGACAGAGCTGGCAGACGTAGACGAAGAGCACGGCGCAGAAAAACAGCGAGCTGCGATGGGCCTCGACATCGAAGCGCAGCAGAAACACGGTGTAGCTGCAGGAGCAGGCTATGGAGACGGCCAGGGCGTAAATTGTCAAATGGTCACGCGTGTGCAGCCGGTGGGCGGAGCTCTGCAGCCGGGACGTGTGCAGCAGCGCGAACAGCTGGCGGCAACACCAAAGCAGCTTATTTGCCAAGACGATAAGACGACACTGGCGGCTCGTGTGCCGGTAGAGCGTGAGCACAGCTGAGCCCAGCAGCAGCGCATATCGATGGCAGCCGACCATGAGCAGCAAGTGATTCTGGCGCAGGAAATCCATGCGTGTGATCACCATCCACATGGCGACCGGCGAGAAGCCGAGCACAAACAACAACACCAGGCAGCCATGCAGGCGCCAATACCGCTCGCACTTGACAGGCGCCACACCCACGCCCACACGCCCGCTGAGCATCTGCCAGGAGGCGGCAGTCAGGCCCAAGAGCTGACTCAGCAGGTGCAAAACACGCAGCGTGCCACTCGTTAGCAATTGTAGCAACAACATAACTACGAACACTAAACGCCACAAACTGAATCGAGCTACTCGGACTAACTGCTGCTGCTACTCCTGCTGCTGCTGCTGCTGCTGCTGCTGCTGCTGCTACTCCTGCTGTTGCTGTTGCTTTTGTGCTCCTGCTGTCAAGCTATGCGTTGTCATAATTGAATCACGATTATCTGGCCATGGCTATTAGCCTGATTGAATTCCACTTAGCCCAGGCGTTGACTTCACTCAGCCAGAGCCAGCACAGCGCAACGAGCGACCACGAAGCGGCCCTGAAACAAAAGGATTCTATGAAATATCAAACAAGAAACAAGCTTCAACTGCAAACAGATCGAAGATTAAATGCTCTTTGAGGGCATTTCCATTATAGGGAAATTTATTAGAGTCAGCTTAAGCTGATGTCTTGTAGAAGATAGTGAGCTTTGATTTAGTCTGTAGAATTATATATGTAGATACTTACATATATTACTTATATATATTACATTATTTCTGTCAAAGCTGTAATACCTTCACTTAGTGTATATAAAAGGGTGAAAAATCAGCTCAGCAACTCGACACGCAACCTTGACTAAACCTTGTTATAACGGCGATAATTAAAGATAAACCAAATAATAAATACATAAATATTTATGTTAGCCTAAGAATAAAGCTTATAGAGCAAAAGGAAATGAGAACAATGAATGGGATTGTAAGCAAAATATGAGTAATATGAGAACAATAGTTTATAGAGTAATGAAAGTCGAAAGAGAGGGAGAGAAAGGAAAGAGAGAGAGGGAGAAGGAAGGAGTGAGAAAGAGAGAGGGAGAAGGAGGGAGGAAGAGTGATAAAAATTTACATATTATATTTAGATGAATAATGCTTGTGTAAGAGCTTTAATTTAGAAGGACTCGAAATACGAGATATATTATACGCAAGTTCTTTAAAAACTGTTCCATATATAATACTATTTTCTTGATTTAAATTTTATAAATCTTTTAAGTAATTTAAATAGCTTAAAACATTTTTAAAACTAAATTTAAAAATTAAAATTATTTAATAAGCATGATACTACATTTTTACATGAAATTTTCCATTTAGGAATAATTTGCTGCTATCTTCAGCTAGTCTCACATCAACTTTCTATACATAAGCATATATCCACAGTAGTTTTCGTAAGTCTTATCTTTGTGAATGCTTCAAGGCAAAATCTGCGATTTCTTAAGAACTCTTGATGCCGTCAGTCATCTAGATTAGCCTAATCTGACAGAGCTTGGCGCAACTTTCCGCTGATTACATGCCAATCCAGAAATTCTCAGGTATGCTAACCATTAAGCTACCAGGCTTTCAGCTGTCTGCGAAGACATGCTTTCTCATTTCATTTCGTTTCTTTTCTTTTCATTTCATTTCTTTTTAAATCGTGAGTCCAATCAGTGTCAAAAGATAAACTAACAATTTAAATTTGTGCCACAGTTCGGCGGTTCGGGGTTTGGTACGATTTGGCTTCGCTTGTTTTGGCTTGGCTTGGTTTGGTTTGGTTTGGTTTGGTTTGGTTTGGTTCGGTCTGGAATCCGGGGTCTGAAGTGACTTTTGTGGGTGAAAAATGTGCCCCTTAGCAAAACTACAAAACGTTGTCGTTCTCTGCGTTTGTCGTTGTGTTATTAAAAAAGTTTTCGCTTTAAAGAGTTTTCCCCCCTTTTTCTTTTTCATGCAACATAAAATGCAAAACACTCGAGTTGTATATGTACTTTAGCCTTTATGGTAAACTTTCCACGCTGTTTATAAGTTTTTGCAGAGAGCGAACAAAAGCAACAACAACAAAAAGGGGAGCAACAAAAAAAAAAAATTGTTTAAAAAAATGTTGGAGAAACGAAAAAAAAAAAAAAACAACAAAAAATATGTCCATGTTGCAGCAACTTTCTGTGTGCTTTGTCCTGTTATTGCCCTCACTTCCTCTCTTCCACTCCAGTCGCCTCACTCTGCAGCCCTCATTGCCCTCCCCCTCCCCACCTCTCTCTCTACTGCTCTCTGCCCTACCCTCTATAGTCGTCGAGTGTGCGGTTTTTATCTTGGTTATATGACTGCGCTGAGTCCTGTCTCGACTTGGATTGGCCTGGCTTGGCGTGGTTTAGCCTGCTCCTGTGCAGCTCTTCGGCTGTTTGACTGCCTGACTGAATGGCTGGATGACTGGTTGACTGGTTGACTGACAGTTGTTTGGCATTGCAGTCTCACACTCCGACTGCTAATTCATTCACATTTTACGCTGTTTCGCTTAGCAGCGCCATTGAAACTGTATTTTGTGTCCAATATGGCCTGCTTGAGATACCCTGTAAATATGAAGAGTGCTTGAACAGGGGGTTTATGAAGCCTGCATTTAGAATGACCTCAAATCGGGTGGAAATAATCTGTGAATATATATGCAATATGCTCTGCTTGAGATACCCTGTAAAATATGCTTTTGTGTTGTTTCATTAGCTCAACTCGAAGCGAAATAATTCGATAAACATCTGTATATTTGTATGTATGAATAGCTTGTAGCTGATATATAAATTTCTTAAATCTTAAACCTATTAAAAATAGTTTACTCTGGATATTATATCCTTATTTTTACACAATCTTCTTCTTCTTCAACTTGACATCTTTTAGTCGAGCATATCCCAATACAAAACTATTCCAAACTATCTATGTATATGTATTTGTGTGTACGTGCAGCACACAAAAACTTCTAAAACCAAAGTGCTATTTCCCCTTAAGCCCCCCACCCGCCCACGCCCCTGCCCCAGTCTTGGCCAGCTGGCGCTTCACATCAAAGTCAAATCGCGCACTCAATATAAAATGTGAGAGCGGTGAACAAGTGTCCCAACTGTCTAAGCTGGACCCGCTGATAAGACCCGACGACAGCAAACCGACAAAATCTAAAAAGTTAACAAAAAACGGCAAAAAAAAGAAGATGAAAATGAAGATGAAGAAGAAGAAATTAAGAGAAAAAAATCTTTAATTAAATAAAGTGTAAGAAAGTTGTTGAAGGCCACTCAAAGAGAGAGAGAGGTGAAGAGAGGGGGAAGGGGAGAGCTGAGGAGAAGTTCAGTGACGCGACTGCATGAATTTTCCGCTGTACATCAAACGAAGTACCAGAGAGAGGGGGAGCGGGGTAGTGACTCCGTGACTCCTAATTTGTGCAAGCTTTGTGAAGCTTTCCACTTGCGCGCAAATCAAGTCGATTTTTATATAAGATATTTACTTTTGAATTGGCTAAAGGGCAAAGTTCATTGTTTTCTGCGTGAAAAACTTGCAGGAAACAAAGAGCAGAAACTGAAAAAAATAAAAATAAAAAATAAAAATAAAATAAAGAAAATAATCAAAATAAAAAGAAAAGAAAATTTTAAGAACAGCAGTAAAAAAGTGAAAAGTTAAATGGAATTCCCATTATATGGGCGAGTGAAAATGACAAATTAACTTGAGCTCAAAGGAAGCCGCAAAGTTTCGCAGCTGCCAAACCCAATTGGCAAACAAAAGTGCGGCTGAGTGTAAAGGTAAACGCGAGACTTTAGTGAAAGGTTGCCAACGGGTACATAAGCAACCAGCACACACACACACACACACACACACATATACAGGAGACAAGAGATAGAGAGAGAGGGAGTAGCCACCACAGACATTGTCGATTCAATTAGAGATAACGCGACACGAAGAAAGCTGCGAATTTCTTGTTAACTTATAATTATATATGCACATTGAATTTGCAGTCTAGTGTAAAAATTTATAACCTGAAGAAAAAGGATGTCAATAGAGCTGTGTATCTTATCAGTTAATGTGTGTGTGTGTGTGTGTGCGTATCTTTTGTATAAGCGTTTTCCGGTGAATGAACTTAAATTGGGCTAAAATACACAGAGTGCGCAAAAAGGTCTTTAAATAGAGGCAAAGGCGGCTACAGAGGACAGACTCTTGTGATGAATAGAAAAAAGTGGAAAATATAATAAAGTCTATACAAAGTCTTGAAATGTAATAATAGAAAGATATAGGAAAAAAAGGAGAGGGAGAAAGCGACAGAATTAATTTATAATTAATTCAGTCCTACGATTTGGCCAGATTTTCTGCTCTTCAGATTTTCTCTTGTGAGTAAGATTTTTAACATATAATAATTATAGCAATGTAATTTATTATAATGATAAATATCATATTTATTCTCGCATATATTAACTGAAACTTATTTACTTAGGATTTAGTCAGTGCTTTACTAAGAGGTGTCTTTCTCACAAACTGATAATGAGAGCCTTTCCACTATGATGATTACTCTAACATAATCTATTTACATAATGATGATTAGCATAAACATAATTAATATAGAACTCGATATCCTATAATTACAAATAATACCATATTTAATATTAAATAATTATTTTAATTTTATTTATTTATATGTATTGTTAAACAATTTCTTAAAATAACAATTAAGCTAAGAATATTTTTAATATTATTAACTATTTAAATATTTGCCTCACACAACACAACAAAAAGGTGAAGTCGACTTCACAGCAGATGATCAGGAATACGACTGAAGTGGTGTAGCACCTGGCTCACCTTTATATCCGAATTTCTAGTCTAGTTTGAGGTCGGGGTCGAGCTCGAACTCTGGAGTCGAGCCTGAACTTGTTGCACCACTCGATCATTTAAGGAGAGAGATTAAAGTAGTTTCTACTGTGTCAAACATAAGCTAAGCGTGCTCTTAATACCAGAACTAATACTGCTACACACAAATGCAAATATTAACGACCTACCTATGTATATATTTATGTATTATGAATACTGTCACGCCTTCTGCTGCCTTTCCAATGGTTTCAATATCAACTAAAACTAAAATATTGATTTTGAACATATATATGAAATTGATATTATTATGTTAGACAGATGATATTCGATATTAGCTCTGTGTATAGAAAATCTAGAAAAATCCTTATATAATCCTCAGCTAATTTATCAAGCCTTTCCTTTAAGAATTTGCTTATTATTGAAGCAAAACCTTGCTCAGTATAAGTTCTTCTGGACCTGCTTAGCTCTTCCTAAACCAATTCTGACCATTCTCCATTGATTTATTAACGTTCGAGTTTATAACTTAAAATTAAACAATGGTTAATGGGTCCTTCGGTTTAAATATGCTTCATATATATAAGTATAACTCTATAATATCTCTGCATATACGAGTATACCCCTATATATATCTCCACAAAAATCGCTCGGCTACTATTACTTAAAGTACTTTCAGCCTCTATTTAATACATAAAGCTCTGCGCCCGTATACGGGCATAACGTTTTTAAGGATTTAAGCATGTTTCGTGTAAAGTCTCATTCGCGGAATACGTGAACAGCTTTTATTTATTGCATCAGTCATGCCATGTCCATCGATTTATTTAAAAAAGAAAATACGTGATTTTGTCAACGGCTCATAAAAAAGTTCGCTCAATATTTATTTGAATTTCTTTTTTTTTGTATTTTTTACAGAGATGGACTGGCGGCCCATACCGCAGCTCTGTGATCCCATACAATGTCCGGCTGATGCGGACATGGAGTGCCCGGAGGACAGCGCAATACGGGAGATGCGCGAGATAAGCGCCGTGAATCTGTTGAGCTCGAATGCGGTCGGCGGCAGCCCCAGCGGGGCAATGGAGACAACGGAGCGCAGTGTCTACAACAGCAGCCAGGTGCCGGACGAGCTGTTCGCCCTCTGTTGTCTGTCCAAGAAGTGCATGTGCAAGACGTGCTACAACATACCCGGCTGCAACACGGAGGAGGGCGAGGTTGTGGTCGAGCTGCAGCCGGAGGATATGAATACGCCGGGCCACTGCTGTGGCAAATACGAATGCAAGCCGGAGCCCAACTGTTCGGACGTGCGAAACACGAACTATTACTGGCTGCAGAGCTGCCAGCGCTGTCTGTGCAACTCCGGGGCGCGCATTTGCCAGCAGAGCTGTGACGAGGGCAAGAATGCCATCTGCGAGTCAAAGAACCTGAACATGTACTTCAAGGACGGCGACAGCTGGAAGGACGGCTGCTATCAGTGCGAGTGCGTAAAGGGCGAACAGAAGTGCGTGATACCGCTCTGTGCCCATGTCAATTGCCCCAGCGAGCGTCAGGTGATGATCAAGGACCACTGCTGTCCCGTCTGCTGGCCCAAGGGTGCGCCCATGCCCCACGAGAAGCCCAGCAACTATGACGACGGCTATGGCTACGACCACGAGGAGCCAGCACAGCCAGAAACAGATGCCGATGCCGATACCGAAACTGACGCTGAAGCTGAAACTGAAACTGAATTGCCTGTGGTGCCGCTGGCAGATGAGATTATCGTCAGCAGCACCACCACAACCACCAGCAGCAGCACCGCCAGTCGTCCGAGCGCCACACCAAATGCTGAACTAATCGACTTTCCCCGGTTGGACGCCTCAGCTCCGCCCTGCCAGCCGCCCGACTTTCCCAAAGTTGTGGAGGTCGTGCAACGGGATAATTTGCCCAACAATGTCAAGCACATTGCAATTGTGGTGCTCACCCTCATATCATTGTCCGAGTACTTGTATATAAGGCGTCTGCTGGCCAAACAGCGTTCCTACAGGCCCGTCTCCAACTTTGATGACAAGGTCTAGAAAGCGAAAGAGTAGAAGAAGCAGAATAAAGCAAAGCAAAACATGAAATAGAGAAAGGGAAAGAGAAACAATTCAAATGCAACTTTTCATAGCAAGCAAAAACTATTAACTAGAAATTTTGTTTTTTTTTTTTTAATACTATTATTATTATTTGATTACCATAGATATATATCTATATATTTTGTTGTTTTGGTATCTAAAAGATCTCATTTTAATTTCACCCTCACTTCCATGCAGACATACGCCGACGCAAAAGCAAAGTATTCTTATGAAATTACGCGCAAACAAAAGTTACTATAAAATCGAAATCAACTTAAAAGAAATTTCAAACAAAATTATATATATATAAAACATATAGAAAGTAAACAAGACGAAGAAACTTGTTGTATATATGTATGTATGTACATCAAATTGAATGGATAGTATTAAGCACACCAATGTTTTATTATTATAATGCACGAACTAAAATGCCAAAACATATTTAAAGCAAAACAAAAAAAAAATATATATATATATAAAACAACAACAAGTTGGAAACTAAACTCAAAATGATTCACAAACAATCGAGAAACTAAAACTAAATGAAAAGCAAAATGAAATATCCGTTCGTTAAACGTTAGACGAATTAAGTTAGCAGCTAAGCTAGAATATCTATGTGATATTTGTTAATAAGTTTATGTTATAAACAAATGCTATAAACAAAAACTATAAAAAAAAAAAAATAATAATAATTAGAAGGAGCAGGCAAGCTATCAAAAGTATTGCAAATGTATCAATCAATGTGTACATATGTATAGGTTTATATATGTATATATATAGATATATATGTATGTACAGCTGCTGATCGTTGCCGTTAATGTAGTACCATACCATACCATTTAATTATTATCTTTAAAGTCGAAATAAAAAATAAAAACAATCCGAATCAGCAATTGCGAATCATGCCAATCCACATTGAACTTCTTATTGCAACGCGTGCGTCCATCCTGAGCTGAATCACTTTATGGCCAATTTCTGTGGGTTCATTGAGACGTGAATTCAACATTTGCATTCGCAGTCGAAAACGCATTCGCATTCGCATTCGCACTCGCACTCGCATTCGAATTCGAATTCGTGTGCGGCTTGTATATGGTAAGTAAACAAGCAGGAATTGCATTAATCAATCAATAACAAACAATACAATGCAAGCAATAATTAGCATCGAGTGTGTGCACTCAGCGTGCATAATGTGTCTTGCCTCCCACTCCTGCTGCGTCTTTCTCTCCCCCTCGGTGTCTTTGACTACCCGCTTGGACGTAAATATTGCATTTGCCCCTTAAAATGTATTTTATAAATAATTAAATTTTCATTTATTTCATTTCATTTTACGCAGCGGTTTGCGGGAGTTTTGCGTACAGCTCCAAGAAATTTCAATTATGCAATGAAGATTTTCATTTAATTGGAGTTTTGCATGTATATGCAGACAGTAGACTTTTATGCAAATATAATTTAAAATATTTATTATATTTTACTATATATATTTATTCCCTAAAATTTAAGTATTTTATATATTTCATCCTTTAAATTTGTAGAGCTCAGAATGTCTAAAGTAATTCCTTTATCTGTTTCCATAATACTTAGTGTATAGTTTTAGTATAGTAATGCTTATCAGATTGGAGATGAGTTTCAAGACTTCAATTTGATTGAGCTATAGTCCCATAATTAAATGAAACTCTCGTTAATAAACATTTACTACATTTTTTAATAGCTTAGTTAGAATCTGCTAAGATCAATAAAAGTTTTGACTGACTGCCTCTAATTCATCTTCATTCTGATTTTAAACAAAATCAGTTAACATAGCATAGTTAAGATCTGCGGGGAATAAGCATAACATATTGTCTAGGATTTGAAAAATGATTTCTTCAAACTTTTAAGAATAAGTAGAAAAATGAACAAATTCCGAAAACTTGAAAAGCTAAATACATAAGATTCTCTTAGCAACGCAAGGGAAATACGTCACTATAACTTATATTTCCCAGAGACTATGAAAGCCTATCCAGCTTCAGCTTCTCCAATAAAATGATTCTCTGCTCCTCTTATATTCTCTATTTCCAATACTTACAGCATTTCCTGAATATCATATCTTAAAGACCTTCTTTAAGTTAAGCTTAAATATATTACTCAGCTGTTACGCTCGCTCGTGTCACGCATCAGCCGTGTCCCTTTTCTGGAGCTCGCTCGAAATCAAGGCCACAAATGATTTGACTTAAAAAACAAAACAAAGCAACAAAAAATTTCCCCAGAGCCAATGGCAGCTGGCGTAGGTCCTTGACGATTATGGGAAATTGTATGGCTGGGCATAATGTGATGGCATCATATGATTTATAATATATAATAATTTCTATGCATTGGCATCGGGGCACTCAAAAAAAAAAAAAATAAGTAAAAGAGAGTGAGAGTGAGAGAGAGCAGAAAGTAAGAAGGAAAATAAAACCGTTGAAGTGGGCAGTAGGCGGGTCGGTATGGGATGCGAAATATCAAATACAAAATACATAAAGGTGCCAAGGGAATTGAGGGTTGCGTGGGCGCCATACACCTCAACTCACACACACACATACATACATACATACACACCCATACATACATATAGTGGCACTCACACAGAGAGCACATCAGGGGCTCTTCAAGACGGAGAACCCAACAATGTCGTACATTTTGCTTAGATTGTTATCAAAGCCTAAAATGTCATGAATAAAATACACGCAGCGAGCGAAAAGGAGAGAAGAAGCGAGAGAGAGAGAGAGAGAAGTTGGTATATATTTCTATATATATATATATGTGTGCACTTGAGTAGCTGCAACGCCTCTTCGTCCCCTTGGCCACCCACTCATTGACTAGCATAGTGATTTACAAACGTCGGGACTAGTAGGTGCCGTGTCGCTCCGAACGACACGAAGGCGGAGAAGAAGAAGAACAACAACAAGAAGAGGAAGAAGAAGCAGCAAGACTCACCTAATAAAAATGTTGCTTCCGGTTTGAGAGCAAGCTCAAACAAAGTGGGACTGGGACTGGGGTTGGGGTTGGGTGTTGGTATTGGGGTTGGGTGCCCGACTGTTGTTCAGATAGGCGTAAGGACCAATCGCAACAATTTTGCTGAAAGCAAGGCAAATACTCGCATTGTTACAAAGGTTACACGTGTTACGCCTAACGATTGTCGAGCCTCAAAGCGTTAACGTTTTGTATACGGATAAGCAATGGCAAACAGCTGCGGGGCAAATAGCTTCAAAACTGAGCCCGGAAGGGGACACCACCCAACCACCCAACCGCCCAAACACTCAGACCGACCTGCCCCACTAACAAAAGCTGAACAATAACAATGGCTGAACAACAATAGACTTCAAGAGCTCAGATGACACTTTGAGTTATTTTGTTGATGCTGTAAAAACACGAGCGAGCCCTAAGATATGCGATGGTAGATTTATTGGGGCTGCAGATAGAAAAACTCGCAAAAGATGAACACAAGACTGAAAGGGCAAAAACTGCAAAAAAGGTGGAAAAGCGACTGCCCAGAGCTGAGCGTTTGATAAGGGCCAGCGCAACCCCTTGAAGAGAGTGTGTCCAGTGCTAAGCTTTTCAAAAAAAGAATGTATAATGTATATGTGTGTGTATAAACAACAAGTGCGAATGAGTGGGAGAGTCTAATGATGAACGGGCTGATGCCCTGATGATGTAAAATGAGAGCTGTGAACATGAGATTTAAATAATATTTGAGTACAGCTTTTAAATAGAAGCAGGAAATAAATTTAATGTTTGACGATGCTAACCCTAAAAATTTATTGTCCTTCAATATTTTTAGAATTTTCAGCATCGATTTTTAAGTGAATTTGAAAGCATTTAGAATCTACATTTATATAGAATTTTTTATATTGTTTTTTTTTTTTTTTCATAATTCTTAATAAATATTTAAAAGTTTTAAATGTGTACAGCAAATATGTCAAATGATTTTTTTAAATAAATATTTTTTTATAATTCTTATTAAATATTTTAAAATTTTGAATTTTACAAAATTATTTCTAACGATTTTTTTTAAATAAATATTTATTTTATAATTTAGATGTTATTTATTTTTTTTATTTATTATTTTTGTATACCTATATAATATAAATGCCGTTTAAATATAAAAACTAACTCAAGAAATAAATTCTTAGGCATCTCTAAAAATAAACAAACAAAGCCACCCACATTTCAGCTCATCCTAAATCCAGGGCACTGACAGTTAAACGTATCGCAGAGCGAAAGGATAGCGACTGAATGAGTTACTTGAAAAGGGAGTAAACTGGCAAGAGAACGACTATAAAATGCTCGAACCAAAATGATTTAAAGACAATGCCAATGCCGAGCAGAGCAGAGCAGAGCTCGACGACGAGAGCGAGATGAAAAGTTGCTAAACAAATACGTGTAATCAAGTAGATGCAATCAAATATATAAGGAATACGATAAATTTGAAGTGAAAGGATATCTCGTATACCCAGCTCTGCTCTGACAGCACGAGTATACGAGTCATTGATGCTGTGAAATGTATATATGCAAAGGACTATCGGCATCGGGCAGACTCAGCTGAATGCTAAATGCTGGATCCTGAATGCTGAATGCCATTCACAGAGTGGAGTGAAAAGAAAGCAAAGGAGCTGCACGAGAGAGACGCAGAAAATGAAAAGCAAATGCGAATTGTCGAAGCAATTAAATTCGTGTCTCAAGATGGGCACAACAACAACAACAACAACAAAACTATGAAAGCCTCGACAAAAGCAAAAGGAACTTAAGAAAAACTTTAAGATTGAAAAATATTCTCTCAACTGTGAGTCAAAACAAAATAAATTTGTATTGATAGGCCATAAATCAATCATCAAAGCTGGGGATTTCTATTTGATGAATGCATGATATATCTACAGCATGTACATCTAGCTATATACATATATATATTATATATGCATATATTTACAATATTTATATACAATATGTATCTGCTGCAGGCATATATCAAAGGTATATTAGCCTAAATTTGAATTGGCTAACACAGAGAGAGACACACACACACACACACATACACAGACATCCACTCACACTCGCACACAGTTAGAGCCAAACCTCAAGCACATGTCAGAATTAAATAATGTAACGCACGATTGCTGGCAACCACCCAAGTCATCCCAGCCTCAGCCCCCCCGGGCCGCCCACTTTTTACACTCAGCCTGGTATCCTGGCCAGGCATCGGCATTGGCTTTTATTTGAATTTGGTGCGTGCTGCTGTCACTTGTCTGTTACATTCGCCATGTAAACACAACCACAGGCAATTTTGGCAATTTGCGTCAACAGGCACAACAGACACAACATGAAAACCAAACGCGTCCAATGAACGAGCACGACAGCAGACACCACCGACCTGGCAGATACCCTACCCAGGGGAGTAGAATAACTAATATGAAGTGCTAGCCTGAAGCGAGAGCTTGGATGAGCTCAGGATTTAATTTATAAGTATTCAAATTCATAAAACCAAATCTTGCTTAATATTAAATTACAATTTACATATTATTATAAAATTATTTCCATAATTTTATTATTTTTATACAAATATTTCTTTGGTGTCTTATTATTATTATTTTTATACCCTGAACCCATTGAAAATGGGAAATCAGGGTATAATGGTTTTGTGAAAAGTATGTAACAGGCAGAAGGAATCATCGCAGACCCCATAAAGTATATATATTCTTGATCAGGACGACGAGCTGAGTCGATATAGCCCTGTCCGTCTGTCCGTCCGTCCGTCCGTCCGTCCGTCCGTATGAGCAAAAGGATCTCAGAAGATATAAGAGCTAGAGAGCTGAAATTTGGCATGCATACTCGTGTATACCATAGGCAGTACGAGTTTGCATTATTTTTTCGATAACTCATCCGATAACTTTTTTATC